GCGGCCCTGCCCCGGGCCCGGCTCTCGTGCCCATGCCGCACATTGGCCGTGCACAGCCCCGTGCCAGCCTGCCCCTGCTCGGCTGCAGCGCGGCCCCGCGGGTGGCCGCCGAGCCCCCGCGCGCCCCCGGTGCTGCCCTCGTGCTGCGCGGGCTGCGCTGCTCTCAGCCCTGCCCCGAGGCGCCTCCCCGCACGGGACCCTGAGCCGCAGGACGCGGTGCCGGGGCGGCCGCGGTGCCGGGGCGGCCTCGCTCCCGTGCTGCCACCGAGGGCACCCGACACGCGCGGGTGTCGGCACAACACGGCTGTGCGCAGCACCGAGGCTCCGCCTGTCTCTGCAAGCCCCGTGCGCCCCCGCGGCGCGCGGCTGTGCCCCGGCGCGGTGACGCGCGGTGGCAGGCAGGAACCGGAGATGCCAAAACAGGCCAGCGGCTGCTGCCAGACGCGTGTGACGCGTTGCGTGGGGGACAGCAGGCGGGAAGCAGCCGCCCACGGGACAGAGAGGATGCGCCGGAGCCGCCGGGACGGAGCCCTTTAATGTGGGGGCGGCGCGGGGGGGCCGTGGGGCAGCCCCAGCAGGCGCAGGGTGCGCAGGAAGAAGGGCGGCGGCGGCGCCGTGAGCACGGCCGCGGGCAGCGCCAGCTGCTCCAGGTGCAGGTGCAGCGGGAGGCGGCGGCGCCGCGGCCCCGGCTCCAGCCGCAGCCGCCGCTCCAGCTCCTCGTCCAGCACCTGTGGGGGCAGCGGGGTTAACCCCGGGGGCGGGAGTGCCACCCTGAGTGTCACCGTGGCCCCGCGCTCGCTCCCTACCTGCTCGGGCGGCCGCGCGGCCTCGGCCGGCAGCAGGAAGGGCTGGCCCAGCACGCGGCCCACGGGCACCGAGCGCTCGTGGTCGCCCAGCGCCGGGCACAGCAGCAGCGTCAGGTGTGCCAGCAGCTGTCCCGGGAAGGCTGCGGGGCGAGCGGGCGGCGTGAGCGCGGATCGTGTCCCCCGCTCCCCTCCTGTGCCCGCCAGCCCCAACCCACCTGTCCGGGGCTGCAGCTGCAGCAGGGCGCAGCCGCCCGCGGCGCCCAGCACGCGGTACCGCGTCACCGTTCTCCGCACCTCCTTCCTGGCCAGGCTGCGGCGGGACGGGGCCGCCACCGGCACCACCTGCGGGTGCGGGCGCTGTGAGCCCCCATGACGGCGGCAGCGTCCCCACTGTGTCCCCCCCGGGCTGCCTCACCGCCACGGTGCCGCCGCGCTGCTCCCGCTGCAGCCCCGTGCACACCTCGCCCTGCGGCTCCGCCGGGACGCCCACGGTGACGGCGCTGCGGGCACGGGGATGGGCGGTCAGGGGGACCCTGCTCAGGCACAGGGACCCGGCTCCGTCCCCGCGGCGGCGGCCGTGACTCACCGGTACGTGACGGGGAATCCGCCGCTCCGGCGCGACTCGGAGAAGAAGCGCTGGAGCCGCTCGGCCGCGCGGCGGCAGCCGGACAGCAGCACCAGCCCGGAGCACTCCCTGCGCCAAAGGGGCCGCTGGGCGGTTGGTGGCCACGTGCAGGACCCCTCTGCGTCCCCACCGTGTCCCCACCGTGTCCCCTGTGTCCCCATGTACCTAGGGGGAGCCTTGACCATGTGCAGCTCGGGCGGCAGCCCCAGGCGCCGGCTCAGCGTGGGCAGCAGCGTCGCCAGGCTGGGCTCCCCTGTAGCACCACCTGCGACACAGGGCTCCGTGACACCGCGGCTCCGTGACACCAGGGTTTGGTGACACCAGGGCTCCGTGACACGGGGGGTTGGTGACACGGGGGGTTGGTGACACCGGGGTTTGGTGACACTGGGGTTTGGTGACACCGGGGTTTGGTGACGCCGGGGTTTGGTGACACAGGGGCTCGGTGGCCGCGGTGCCGCTCGCACTCACCGCGCACGGGCAGCCCCGGCGGTTTGCTGAGCGCCAGCAGGTCTCCTGTGGGGAGGCCGGGGTGAGCGCGGCCCCACGGCCCCCCCGTGCCCCCCCGCCCCGCCGGTACCTTCCCGGTGCACCACGGAGGCCTCCAGCAGCGCCAGCGTGTCCTCGGCGCCCAGCGGCCGCACCGCGCCTGGACGGGCCCCTCTGCCGCGCCGGGGTCGGGACAGCGCTGGGACCCCCGCCATGCACTGCCCCACGCGTGTCCCTGCGCCTGACCCCCCATGCACTGCCCCACGCGTGTCCCTGTCCCACGTGTGTCCCCGTCCCACACCCTCCTGGCTGCCACCACCCACAGGTGACCCTGCACCCACCCCCCACTGCACACAGGGGCCCACGGGTGGCCCTGCTCCCGCACCCCCCCCGTGCACTTTCCCACGCGTGTCCCCCGACCCCCCCGTGTTTGCCCCACGTGAGACCCCCCACCCC